TCTTTTATAAACTAAGACAACTTTGTGAGCTTTACGAAACTTTTGACGTATACTGTAAGTTGTCAGTCACTTTCTGTCCAGCCTCATGTGATTTTTCATGTATGGTATTTTCCACAGTGGACCTAACTAGACTCCTTTACAGGAATCTTGAGTTACTCCTTTGCTCTACTCTGCAAATTCTAGCTCTCTCCGGCCTCCTAAATTCTGATTTCTTTCTACTTAACTCACTGAGATCATAGTGGTATTCTTGGGATTACCTTCCTTGCACTGAAATCCGAATTATTACTCAGTAGCCTAATGCCCTCAGTTACTTGAACATATTTTTACTTTTTTATTTGTCTCTAAAACATTTATGTCTTTCAGTTTTTTTAGTAGTTTGCTTTTGTGACAGTAAATACATCCACCTTGTTTTCTATTTCTGATACTTTGTCCTCACATTTTTCAAGTCTGCTACCCATGTTTTCCATTCATCTATCTCTGCTTGCTTTCTTTTCATACTTTCTCATTCTTTTCTGAAGTGATCATTAATGTATTCTTTCTTAACGCAGTTAATTATTTGTTTATTCTTTAACCTTATCAAACATTTTATTGGTGATTCCTTTGTCTAATTAAATTCTCTTTGAGCTTGTTAAGCATCTTAGCTTTTGCTTATGTGTTTATTTCTTCAAACATTTGAACATTTGGTTTTTGAGTTCTTTGCCTAGAGTTTCCTTTATGTTAGTGCTCATAAGATTGGTTCAGGGGAGTCAGGAGTTTGTGGGGACATCTTGTCTTGCTTTCTCATATGTGTATATTGTTTTTGTGCTGTAGGTTGAGATCAGTTAGGGTAGAAAGCACTGACACTATTGTGGAGATCTCTTTACCTGTAATGGTGTGTCCTTGGGTTTGATTGTGTTTTGATATTATGCTCCTATTCAGACTCTTTAGTGTGATGTTTGAGGACCTTCTTAGTGTCCAACTTGCTTATCTTTAATCTCCATACCAGTTAGGAGAAACAAACTACAGTAATATTGCCAGTAGAAAGACAACTCAGATATTGGCATACAGTAAAAACCATCTAAAAGCATAACTATGCCACCATTAGCAATAGAAAAATAAGCAATATTAATAAAGTCAAAGACTGTTTTAGTAACATTCTATATGAATCAATAATAGCTACAACTGTACCATCCCTAAAAATAGGAACAAGATCTACAGTAATAATATGGACACAAGTACAAGCCAATATTGACATACAGGATTTATCTGGGAAGAACAGAAACTGTACCACCATTAACAATAGAAAAGAATTCAGTAGTAGGTCCAGAGGTAGTAGCTGCTTAAAGAGGGGCCTGTGGAAGAAGAGACTTGGGCCCTTGTGACAGCAGTGGTGGAGAAGGCAAAGGACATACACCTGCCAGGATCATCAAGAAGGCACACCTGGATGGTATCAATATTTGCAGGGAAACCTGGACCTCTGTCTCCTCCGCTACCAGCATTTTGGTGCTGTACGCCAAAGCCTGTGCCAAGAGTCTGTAAATGAAAGTTAAGAGCAAGATGCCCAATGCCAGTGATGTGCTTTTGACCATAAAGAGATGGAGTGTAGTTCATTAAACCCCATTTTAAAAGAAGTTCCTGGAAACAAATAGGTGGGAACAAAAAAGGCAAGGAAGCTGCAGAGCAAAACAAGAAAGAGACAAAAAAACAGATTTATAGGCGCAAAACAGGCACTGCCATGAGGACAATGATGGAAAAAAAGAAAAGCTGAAAGAAGAGAATGAAGAGAAGAAAGTAGGCAACTAAGAATGAGCAGACTACGGCACTGTGGAAACTACCGCTCTGAAACGTGGTACATATTTATACAGTTTTCCCTTGCTAGGCAGAGCAGTCTTAGGCACAGATGCCTGAGAAAATCAAAATAAAAACTGACTGTAATTGTGATAGCCAGTGGTTTACCAACTCAGAGCAACTGAGTGGCAGAATCCTGTTTTCCTTAATCAGTTTGGTCATGGCAGGGAGGATTCTGAACAAAATAATGAGAGTAGCACCTTGGTCCCTCTTATATACTTATATGTATCGGTAGGTAGCTTTTTGGTTATCAGTTTTCTTGGCCCTTCAAAAAAGTAATAATAACTTCCATGTTCCAGATCTTACAAGCAGGGAAGAGTTACGAAAAATTGGAGCTTTCATTGTGGTTAGCCTGTGTTTGCTTATTCAATAACTTATTAAAAATAGTTATAATAACCTGGGCATAATGTCACACAGTTGTAATCCCATCTACTTGAGAAGCTGAGACAGGAAAACTGCAAGATTTGACAGTCTGAACAACTCACTAGACCCTGTCACAAACTTGAAAACCTAAGATACGGCCAGGACATAGCTCAACATTTCCTGGGTTCAAATCCCCAGAACTGTTTTTTTGTGTGTGTATGGTTTTGTTGTTTGTTTGTTTTAATGCAGCAATAAAAGTATAGCATCAAGTAAATACCTAAAAATTAAAGCTTAATAACATTAATAAAAACGTAGGGAATGGGACAGAGGAAATAAAGTAAAATTTGAATGAGAAAGATGAGAGAAAATGAGATAAAAATCCAATTAAAAAATAAAAGGAAGTTAATAAACTAAGTAAAAAAAATAACAGAATAAGACAAACAAAAAAAAAGAACAAAAACAGAGCAAAAGTTAGGGAAAAAATGAAACCAAAAACAAAGAAAAAGAAATGAGTCACCAACACCTTGTGTTTGGTGAATGGTTCTTTGCAGAACCTGTGGTATTGGGATATATCAGATATTTGTGGAGGATAGAGAATTAAAACTAAGCGCCTATTTGTTTCCACACCCATTTTCTGCTGGGTGGATGCTGGGTCCTGGCCTGCTTTTCGGGCTGGGCGTTGTGAGTCAGTGTCATGTTGTCTGCCTCGGGGCTATATTCAGTCCAGCTGCTGTCAGTGTTCAAGCACTTCTATGCACCCCTCCTCACTGCTGTGTCCCCTTGGTTTCATGCCCTGTGGGTGCCCCAGAGGCCCTTCTGTCCATGGATCCCGCAGTGTGGTATCTGTCCAAGCCAAGCTAATACCTGGATACATTGGCAGATGGAGAAGAACAAACACACCACTGAGCGCTGTGCTGGGAGGAGGCAGTAAGGAGGGCCAACAGTCTGCTGGACTTAATGCCAGCACTCTTAGTTAGACCCAGCCCCCTCAGAGAACCCTACCAGCAGCCTGGCTTCTCACCACAGAGTGGTTGGTGTCTTTTAATCACCAGTCTCCTGTGTTTTTCATAACTTCAGCACACAGCTGCTTAAACTTCTCAGGGATACTGTGAATAGCCCGGCCCTTCTCCATGACTGTCTTGTGGCTCTCTCTCATTCAATCAGTGTAGTAGGGTGACCCCAGAGACGCTCAAATAAAGTTGTTGAATGACTTCTGATTCCCGGCATAGGTCAGCCTTAAACCCCTTTCCCAAATGGCTTCTGATTATATCAGTCCCAAGTACGGTGGAGGCTGCAATGCGTTTCTTCTCCAGCTCTAGCCTACATATTCAGAGTAAAGCCCCATGCCATATTTGCAGTTTTTAATACCATGGACTTTTCTTGAAGCTGGTGCTGTCCACCTAGCCTGTGCTTCTCCTGGGAGCTTTGGCCCTTTACAGGCTTATCTTCTGTTTGTGCGAGTTGGAGTTAGTGCTTTAGATTGCTTTGTTTATTTCCCTGTGTGGTCTTCAATTTCTTGGTTTTCTTGATAGTTTCTAGTTTTCAGGTTGACTTTTTCTTGATTCCCAGAACTCTCCTGTTTTCCTTCCCTAAGTTGTTACTTTCCAAGTGTTTTGATTCCAGGTGTCACAAGGCTACATTTTCCTGCTGGCCATCACAGTACCGTTTTTTTTTTCTAAGAGAAAGAAAATTTCAAAACAAGAAACCACCTCCAACAGATTTATTTTTTGAAGGAATCAATTGGGTGAAAAAACATGCACAAGTATGGGATAGAAAGTAAATATACACATGGGCTGGAGATGTCATTCCGTGTGAAGCACTTGCCTAACATACACAGACCTTAGATTTGGCCCTGGGAAAAAAACTATTTTGCTAATTTTTAAAATAACTGTAACTACAACAGAGAATTCCCTGAAAAAAGAATAGAAATTTAAAATCAAGTGCTCCAACCTGAAGATTTCTGTCTGATAAGTGGAATTTAAGTTGCAGTGCTTGATTTTGGACATCTCGCCAGGTAGGACACAGCCTGTGTTTATAACCAGATTTGAACAGGAGAGTGGCCATGTGGTGCAGATGGAAGCAGATGCAGTGTTTGGTTTCATGTGTCACATAACCATCAAAGTCTCCTCATGTTGCAATGTCAGGTGAGGCTGTACACTTTGTTAAACTCATTTGAAATCATTCCTCATCACAAAGATCTTAACCTCACTCCTGACCACTGTAACAGGCCCAGGTGCCTTTTCTGTATTACATCTCTCCAGTATCTGAACAGTGAACTCTTCCTAGTTCTGTTGCATCTTTTCCAACATGTCTATAGTGTTGGTCACTGTCTCACTGTTACACATAGTTACTGGGGAGCAAGAGCTGCTGGTGGTTGAAGGTCTCCCCTGGGGAAGTGCAGGCACATCTCAGGCCCAAGGGTGCTGCCTTTACTCTGGAAACCTTGAGCTGCATCCAGTATATATTTTAAATGTATCTTTTCATTTTCTATTGTTTATTGAAATAGTATAAGTCTGATCACCTTTATCTGCCACAACTAGAAAAGAGTCTTGGCTTACTATTTTATTTTCAGATGTTTTTCACACAGTATTAGCTTGAAATGCCCAATGCACAGTTGCCAAGTAAACAAACTTGTTAATTGTTTTTGAAAATTTTAAAAGAACTAATTAGTGTACTGTTTCAAACATGTCGTTAATAAAAATTAAATAACTACCATATTTTCCCTTTGTATAGTAGCCTATTGCCTATAACAGTTAAAGGTGGGAAGCCGTGTGTGCTACTTATTAATTGTTAAATTTCTCATTTTTTAGACCTAAAGATTGTCTTCGGTCTATTATGAGAAGAGTGAATCACAAAGATCCTCATGTTGCTATGCAAGCATTGACTGTAAGTGATTTTGTTTTAAGTTGTACCATATATTATTACCTTAACATTGATCCTTTTTAACTTCTGACTTTATGCTTTTAGCTTCTAGGAGCATGTGTATCAAACTGCGGCAAAATTTTTCACTTAGAAGTATGTTCAAGAGATTTTGCTAGTGAAGTAAGCAACGTATTAAATAAGGTAAGGAGTGTTGTTTCTGAAATTAAGATCACTTTCTTTCTTAATGTGTTTCATTGTTTAATTCTTCACATTTTAAATCACACAGAATGATAGGATTATCCTGTGCTGGAGCCTGCCCCCCCAACACCATCTAGGATGTATCTGTGCATTCTATAAGTAAAGATTTTACTACAGGCTACAGATACACATAACTTTGAGAACTGACGTTTTCATGCCATATTAAAGTGTATTTAGTTAGCTTCTTGTTTGCATCATTCCTTTCATCTAAGACAATATTTATATTTCTGCATCTAATGAAACAATAATACAAGTCTATTTTAGGCATAGTTTTCGAAGCTTTTTTTTTTTTTTTTTTTTTTTTTTTTTTTTTATAACCACAGAGGTATTTTGGTTATGTGGAGCCCTTCACAAATACTAGGACCAGAACACAATGTAGACCAGAACACAAGATTATATTGTTCAGTTGACTGTTGAATTTCTGTCTTATATGAATAAGACCATGACTTGTCACAGGCTTTTCATACTGTGCTGTTACTCTGTCTGACCACACCTGCAGCTGGAGTTGGGACAAAGTGGTTATAGGGAAGTTGCTGCCAGAGACATCCCCAAGCCACCCTGAGATGGAGTGGGTATGATTTTAAAGGAATACACACGGAAGCCATGGTGATGGGTCCAAAGCATGTTAGTGGGACTTATGAACCAAGGATTGCAGTGTCCTAATGATGAACACTGAACAAGGTGTTTGTGCAACTAGTAAGACACACACTGAACAAGGTGTGTGTCTGTAAATGCACGGATGAGGTTAGAGAGTTTGTGTAAGAATTCACCTGCTCAGGGCCAGGGCAAGTCTCTGTGTGTTTGCCAAAATATTTGATCTTTTAGTGTATCAGACGGCAACAAGTACGTCAGTAGCTAGGAATGTTCAGAGTCCCTGGCTTGGGGTCAGGCCTATATAGGAAAACATGTAGCTCGCCAGGCCACAGAATAGTCAAGGTGCTGTGCGTTCCTCTATCCAGGCCAAAAAGGAAAATAAGGTCCTAAGGGGGCCTACATATTACTGCATATGGAATAAAGAATTTGACCCCATAATTCAAAAAGCTTTGAAGATTTAAATCAGTAAGAAATGTGTGAGTTTTCCTAATACAGATTTATATGTTTGAAAGGTAATTATTTCTGGCTTTAGAAATTTTTTGATATAATACATCAAGAAAAATGTAAATATTGAAAAAGAAATGCCTCAAGTGTTTTTGCAAAAACGTGAGTTTTTAGTAGAAAAAGTGATGCAGAAATTTGATAATTTAGAATGTTGTGCTTTTAAAAACATGATTAATGTGATAATCCCTTTTTTTGTTTTGTTTTAGAGGTTTGTTTGGTGTTTTTTTTTTTTTTGGTTTTTTGGGGACTGGAGATTGAGCTCATGACCTTGTGCTTGCCAGGCAGGTGCTTATGCTGCTGAGCTAAATCCCCAGCCCAACCCCTTTTCTTTTTACAGTTATTCTTAGTTATTTTCTACTAACTAGTAAGCATTGTTTTTTCATTTCTTGAATGCTCATAAAAAGATTCTAATATTGTGTTTTCTGTAGTATGTAATATACAAACTTAGGTAGTACAAGCAACTGTTTTGAAGAAAAACTACATATAAGTGAGAGGACTTTGAAACTGTTTTACAATTTATACTTAGTTTTATACTTAAAGAGGTGAAAAATTTTGAAAAACAAAAGTTTTCGAGAGATTAGTGTGTAAAATCTCAGAAACCAGACTTCAGAAGATTATCATGAGAAAAACACACCTTCATGAACACTAAAAATCAGGAATTAAAATAACTGTATCATTTATTCTCTCCTTTGCTATGTTTAATTGTTCTTCAAAAAACAAACCAAAATAAACTACTTGCCCTTGTCTTCCCTATGTACAAAGCTTGGTTAAATGGGAAATACTGTGAAAAGTCCTTTTTGATCTTCAAAATAAAGTATTGCATAGTTAATATGCTTCAGTTTTCAAATGAGATAGTATCTTCTCAGTTTTTATATTGTAAAAATAAGTTTTTCTCAACCATCTTATTTTCAAATTTGTAATTTGTAAGTCAGAAAAAGATCTACAGTACTTTATTATAGTTTTATATTTAAAGAGACTATTTAAAATCAGTATCTATGAAGCAATTCTTCATTAATTTTTTTCCTTATTTCTTAGGGTCATCCTAAAGTATGTGAGAAGTTAAAAGCTCTTATGGTTGAATGGACGGACGAATTTAAGAATGATCCACAGCTTAGTCTAATATCAGCAATGATTAAGAACCTTAAAGAGCAAGGAGTTACTTTCCCAGCTATTGGTTCTCAGGTATTTTATAAAGTTGTGTACCCTTCAGTTTCTCTAAAATAGCTACACTTACTGGAAGTTTTCGTTTTTCCTCCATTTCTAGGTTTTTTACTCAAAAGAATTTTGTTAATCATAATCCAATATTTAAAGGGGAAAGAAAATGTTACAGTGAAATCTGAGTATGTCTCAACTTCTACTATCTCACTGTCTTTTTAAGTGAATTGATTTACATATTATAATTTTGAAATTTTTATATAGTTTTTATATGGACAAGGTTGCTTTATCATATAATACTGACAATTAAATGCTCTTAATGCTATAATTTTATCAACAAAGCATAACAGCTTAAAAATCAGGGTGCTTTTAAAATTTGAGGAAGAGTTTATGTGTTGTTTTGAGTAGGAAATTTATAAACACCTGAATTTATTTTTGTTCTTTATTAGTACATTGTTTGCATTATGTAATGATTACATTACATTCTTGATTGGGAGTTGGTATATAACATATCTCAGTTGTTCATGCGCCCCCCCCATCTCTTGATCCACTTTCCATGTGAAAAAGAACTATCTCCCTAATTTATATTATCCATATTTATCTTGCTATTTATTTATACTTTGAGTTTGTCATATAAGAGAAACCATGTGATATTTAAGCACGGTCTAATTTGTTACACTCAATATTATGGTCTTCAGGTGCATCCATTCTCCTAAATGACTCAAGTTAATCATTCTTTATGGCAGAGTAGTACTCCCTTGTATATAAACACTAAATTTTTTTTATCCATTTCTCTGAGTTGTGCTGCTATAAATATAAATACACATGGATCACTGTAATATGATGACTTGAACCTTTTTGGAAGGATACATAGGAAGGAAATAGCTGGGTTGAATGGAATGTCTAGTTTTAGTTTTTTTGAGGAATCTCCATACTGATCTCCATGGTGGTTGTACTGGTTTACATTCCCACCAGCAATGTAGAAGTTTCCTTTTTCCCTGTAGCCTCACAAACATTTGTTTTTTGATTGGGGGGTGGTACCTAGAAATCACACTCAGGAAGTCATGCTTGCTGAGCAGGTGCTGCACCTCTGAGCTATATCCCCAGCCTCTGATTTTTTTGATGCTGTTCATTGAAAATGGGAAGGAGGTAAGATGAGTTAATGGGAAGAGGAGCACATGAGGTACCTTGTGTCTTACTAAGAACTGACCAATGCATAAATCTCCCTTCTCCTCAACAAATATAGTTAACTGAATGGTTTATTCTCCCTTTACACGTGTCATACTAACAGACACGATTGTATAATAGAACCAATCGTATCTGTGTCATAGGAACAGGTGACCATTCTACCCAGGCTTAGAAGGTGTCGTAATTTAGTATACTTTCTTTCTCCATGATGTGGATCAGGTATATTATGAGTAGTCTGAACTCAGTTGTGCAGAGTTATCTTTGGACCATTGACCCCTTTCAGGGGTCATGTAGATTATCTACATATTTCCAGATCTGTCTAGATTTTCTTCCCAATACATTTCCTTGAGATGTGAAGTCTCAGAAGTATATCTGAAAGAAGAAGGAAGCAAAGGACAATTTGATTTGAAAAATCATATATTATGTCTTTGTTTAATATTTGTTCGTAATTGACAGCTGGCTTTTACCAGGAATGATTCTGAGTGTGTATACTTAAAGTAACGCAAGATAGTAAAAGTCCTTTGACAATAGAAGCAGTGTTTTATTTATCAAAGAGTAGGTTCAACACAGAGAACCAAAGAGCATAGATAAACATGGGATGGCATTCAGTGTTAGAATATGTCACACAGAATGTGATTCATTGGTCAGTGTCCCCATCACCCCGAAGCATATTAGGATGAGGCCATTCAGGTACCACACCATACTGTGGACTCTTGACTCCATGCCATGTCCCAGGTGATGTGTGTGCACATCGAAGTGTGAGAAGCAGTGCTCTAGAGTAAAGCTTTCAGTGCAAGCATAAAACCACATTTTACTCTACAATGGGCTTGCTCTTAGAAGGCAGTAACTTTTGGCATATATGCTTGCTTTGTCAACCCAAAATGTTAGTTATGGGAACAATTTTAGGGGTCCTCTAATCTAATCTCACTTTACAGATGAAAAATGTGAGGCTGAGAGTGGTAAAGTAATTTTCCCAGAGATGTACCTTGTAACTAGAGCACAGGCGTGCTGACTCTTAAGCCATCATTCTTGGTACTGCCTGGCTCTGCCATCCTTTTGGTAGAGTTCAGTAGAAATGTATCTGTCCCTACTGGATTTCAAAGGATAAGTGAAAGGGTTTTGGCCCAGACAGGACACTGTAGCCAGTAAAGCCAAGGAGCTCCTATTTCCCCCTCCCCTAGGAACTTACCTATGGTGCCAAACCTAGGACCAGTGGGCTACCTGTGCATCCCTGATGCCCGCTTAGCTTCCACCCCAAACCGAGGCTACTTATGTGTCTTACTCCACGTATTCCACGGAGAGATCGCCAACCCCAGCAAGAGAATTTCTTTTGTGATTGAGTAATTAGGTTATTCTCTTATTAACAATATTTAGGACAGAAAAGACTAATAGGAAAGTTACCATTTTTATTCATTTCATCTATACATTATAAAATACGCAAAAGCTAATTTTGTTAGTTGTTATCTTGCAGTTATAAGAAATATTTAAATACCTGTAGTTCCAACAGTCTGGGAGGCTGAAGCAAGAAAATTGTTCAAACCCAGGCTGTGTTCAATTTCTAGTATCCTCCTCCCCACCAATAAGGAAAGAAATTTTATATATATATAAGTTCAACTGTCGAACTGTCTCTAGATTTTAAACACACTTCAGATACTTAAATCATCACTCTGTTTTCATCAGATTATTGTTAGCACATACTTAAAATATAGTTTTCTTGGTATTTTTTTCATTCAAGTACAGAAGAAAATAATGTAAAACTACTAAGAAAATTTATGTTTGACTATCTACCACTGTGAAAAATGTCATTTGGGAGTATAACTCTTATGTAGCTTACTTTTGCACTCCTTATCAAGTGGTAGAGATTCCTTCAAAGACGACAAAAGGTCAGTATGTCTCTATGATGTGAAATTCACCAAATTATGAAAAAATTCATACAAATGATAAAAGCTGTCTCAGACCAAGTATGCCTTCACTTTCAGCACATATAGTAATTATATTTCTGAAGTTACAACAAGTGATGGGTCAGAATGAGAGTGCTTGAAGTTATATTCAAGGAAATTCCCAAAAGCTTTTCTTCTTACCAGCTTTTCTAAAAATAAGTTCCCTTACATTTGTTTGACAATACAAAAGGCAGTAAGTGAAGAATATAGGACTGTTATTTTAATATAATACTGAATGTTTTTCCTTCATTACACTCAGCAAACATTTATTTATCACTTTTGATAGTTAAGAACATTGCCTCAAGGAGCATACACTTCAGTTACAGAGACAGAAATGAAGCAAGATAATTCTTGGGCTAGAAGCACACTTCTAAGCTGGGCTAGAAGAACAGTTTTAAGTGTTACATGTGATTTTTCTTAAAATACTCTGGGGACTGCAATTGTTGTTTATAACTATTCACAATCTGCATCATGTCATTTGGTGTAAAATATAAAAGTCTTGCAACTGTATAGGTCCATTGACTCCCGACCTCAGCATCGTTTGTTTGTGACTTTGAGTTATCTCTGCTGACCTTTTAACCCCCTAGAGATAATGTTACACCATCACTTTAAGCCTGCATGAACACCATCTTATTTTGAAAGTTTGTGTGTTAATCGGATCCTCAGATAGACTGTGAGGTGCTCATGAGGTACAGGTGCTATGACTATCCTCTCTTTGCTAATGAGGAACTTGAGTCACAAAGAGGCTAATCTACCTCATGTCACACCCCTAGAGAGTGGTGTGCGATTCAGACCTGTATTTTTGATTCCACAGTTTGCATTCTTAACCACCTGTAGAGTGTCTTATTGAAAACTGTTATCAGAAGAACATAGGTGGGGATATGTGATTAAAAGATTTAGGAATACTTCATTGAGAAAGCAGTACTTCAGCTATTTATTAATTCAATGAAAGAAAAAAGTGGATGGAATAAAAGGAGTCTAAGGAGGAAGAATATTTTAAGCAGGAGCGAATATGTGCCAGAGGAGTGCAAGTCAATCTTTGGTAACTGTTACGAAGGGTGAAAATGAGGCTGGTAAAACAGGTTGTATTCTGATTTGTGTTCTGTGAGTACAGAAACTAAGGCCATGGAAATCATGAGTCTTGGAAGCTTGTAATTACAGCAGTGCGAACTAGTTTGTGTATTTGTTTGCTAGCACATTGAATGCAACATACTGTAAAGTTAACTGTGCATTTTGGTTTACAAAACAATTTTATGAGTCTTTATATTGTTATACAGAAACATGGAAGGAAGCAATAAACTATAATGAATAGGTATTACATTTAAAAAACTTTTTAAATTATCTGTTCCTTTTCTCAATCCTTTTCTGATTTAAAAAGTTTTTTTTAAAAACTTAAAAATTTTCCTCTAGTTTTTCCTGATTTGCATACTGTTAAACTATTTATACAAATCTGAGGGTATGTATTTGACCTGTGTCCAGTTGCTTTCAGTCATTTTCTCCCAATTCACTTCTTTTTAGTGCTGTAGGCTTTGTGTATTTAATTGTGCTTAGGCTCTACATTTTTTCCTTTTTAAAAATTTTAATTTTTATTAGCACATGTTTGCATTTCATAGTGATTACATTCATTGTATAGAGTCTGTGCTTGTGTGTAATATGTCTTAATTCTTTTTACATCCCTTTCCTCTTCCCTTCCTACACTCGTGGTTTGCCCCAATTCTGACTCTTCTCTCTCTTTTAAGAGAGATGTTCATCCCATTTAGATGTCTGTCTTCTTCCGAAATCTGTAGTTGATTGGTGGAGTTGATTGGCTTTGTGAGCTCTTAGATTAGATGTGACTACAGGAGTCTGTGAACAAATTTCAAATAATTTGTTCTTTTCTTTCTTTCTTTTTTTTTTTGTTAGGCTGCAGAACAAGCAAAAGCAAGCCCAGCTCTAGTAGCCAAGGACCCTGGTACTGTGGCTAACAAAAAAGAAGAAGAAGATTTAGCAAAAGGTGGGTTTTTAACTCCCTGATGGTGAGATGAAGATAAATTTCTAACTGAGTAGTATTTCCCTGATATATCTGAAGATGAAGCAAATGGAACTTTATAACTAAAGCAGCAATCTCTCTGGTTCCCTTCCTGGTGTCATTTCGTTCTTCTCTGTAAGCCGCTGCCTCTATCCTACTCCAGTGTACTGATGCAGCCTGTTTTTTCTGTACTCTTCTTTGTACATTTTTCTGATCTTTTTCACTGTAATAAAAGTAGTGTTGCTATGAACCTTGTGTGTGTTCTTTGTGAATATTGGTGTGACTATTGTGTGTGACTGAAAGTGCTGTTGCAGGATAGGATACTTTGCTAAATGGTTATATGACTTTTCTTTCATCAGTGATGTATGCAAGCTGTTGTTATTGTAATTATTTTTAAATCTGATAATGCTTGATACTATTTTTTCTGAGTCTGATAGATTCAAAGTAACTTTCAAGTATTTTTATTTTTATTTCCATGACTAGTTCTAAGGTTAAGTCTTTTTTGTATTGACCGTTCTGATTTCATCAGGTGGAATTGTCTTTTTTTGTGTGTGTGTGCTTTTATTTTAGTGATGATATGTACAGGTCTTTATTTTAGATTTTAATCTGTTAGCGTTGTTTCTATTGTAAAATACTTATCCTGAGTTATTGCCTTACGTTTTAGCTTCGATAATGATATGCTCCATCAAATAGAAGTTTTAGAGGCTGAAGGAATATAGCTCAGTAGTAAAGCACCTACTTTATATGCATTGATCCTGGTTTCAGTCTCCAGGACCCCACCACCACCAAAAAAAAAAAAAGAAACATTTAAAATTGTGATACCAAAATTTGTTTGTTGATTTGTATTTTGCTGTAAGTTTTACTTTTTGTATTCTATTGAGGATAATCTCCTTCTTCAAGGTCCTAAAAGATACTTTCCTATATTCTCATAGTGGAGGAGATAAAGAAGCATTTGAGGGAATTTGTTAGATGAGTCTTATAATCAATTATGTAATAGTTACCATTGTAACAATAAAATTTAGGTTCTCAGACAATACTTTTGTGATTCTTAAGTAAATCTGCAGTGGGATATGGACCTCTTGATTCCCAAGTAATTTGGATTATCATTTTGTGAATTTAAATTACATGTGTACATAAAAAAGGTGAAAGAAAATGTAAACTATCTACTGTTAAATTAGAAAAGTACCCAAGAGTTTTTTATTACCTAGAATAAATTATATCTGTTCCTTAAAAATAAAAATTATGATTTTTGTCAATTTTTTAAAATTTTTCGATTCAAAATAAATGAATAAATTGACAAAGTGATTTTTGTTCACTATATTGTGAACAAAGACTGTGTCCAGATTTCCAGTTGGAGTTCAAAGACTAATACTTTCTGTGTTGAGATATCTGTTTGTACTTCTTTGCATTGTTGGGAAGATGAACGTTTTGGATCATTATTTTCCAGCCATTGAGTTGTCTCTCAAGGAGCAAAGACAGCAGTCCACTGCCCTTTCCACTCTGTATCCGAGCACATCCAACCTTTTAACCAACCACCAACATGACGGCCGAAAGGTTCGAGCCATATATGACTTTGAAGCTGCTGAAGATAATGAGCTTACTTTTAAAGCTGGAGAAATTATCACAGTTCTTGATGACAGGTAACGGCGAAGTAGTAGTTGAACTTCTGTGAAAATACCTAATACTTTTGTGTTTCACATTATTTTTGTTGAATGCAATGGCCAAATGTAATCAGAATGTTGACTAGGTGTTTTCTCAGAATGACAGTTGATTTGCTTTTGTCATACTACGTACCTTCTTGTTTTGTAATTTGGTTTTTTTATTTATACTCTTTAAATAGTTTTTAAATTTGTTTTTGAGGTATAGTTTTATCTATTTTTTGTTTCATCTAACATAAGTGTTAAATCAATTAAGTTAAATTTTAGAAAATATTCTGAATTTGTAAGAAATGCGTAGTCTATTGATTTTATTTATACAGAACAGTATCAACATGTGGAAGAATATTTTACCTGAAATTATACATTTATGTTATAAAAAGTGATCCAGTCTATTGATTTGGTTTAAAAGCTATAACTCTGTGATGTTGTAGTTGAAAATGAATTAATACAGATTATTGTGACTAGTGATGGAGTACTGAAATTTGCAACGTGTTTTAAAAAATAAATTCAGATTGATTTGAGGTTATTTGTATAGTAGCACTTCCTGTGTTAGTCTTGTTGGACTGCTAGAACAGACTTCATGGACAAGGTGATTTAGAAACAGCAGAACTTTCTCATAGTTCTGAACACTGGAAAGTCCAAGGTCAAGGCCATTGGATTTCCTGTCTTTCGAATGAGTACCCTCATAGACCTCGGTTGCTTCACTGCTAACACATGGCACTCTCTCAAGTGTCCTTTTAAAGACACTACCTCCATTCTAGAAATTTATGCCTCTGTGACCAGATGAACTTCTAGAGGCCCCAGCTCCTGGTACCATCACCATGCGGGTTAGGATTTCAACATAAGAATTTCAGGGGACAAATATTCAGACCATAGCATTTATACTTTAATGTGTTTTCTTGAGTGAGGAAAATAAGGTGTAAAGTTTGAACTGGTTAACTGGTTAAATTGCCCAAAATCTTGGTTGTAGGTTTTTTTATAAATACCTACTCAGTGCAAGGCCACTGGTTCTAGAGCACTAGGCATAAGAGCCTCTTTTAAATGAGAATTCACAGCTTTTTTTTTTTTTTTTTTTTTTTTTTTTTGTCTTTTTCTTTTTTATTGGTACCGGGGATCGAACTCACGACTGCCTGCTTGCAAGGCAGGCACTTATACCACTGAGCTAAATCCCCAGCCCCGAGAATTCACAGCTTTTATGAAACTCTCAAAAGATTCATTAGCCTTCAAAGAGATGGGAAACTAGTAACTGTTTATCTATTCTTGAGTACTCTATATTTGTAATAAATTCACATTCATTGGGTCCTTTACCAGATTGTTGTGGGATTCCAATCTGGTAATAAGTTAAATACATAAAGGAAGGAAAGATTTATAGAAATAAAATCTTGCAGGAATCTTGTTTGTTTGTTTTCTGAGATAAGATCTTGGCATTGTAGTCCAGGCTGGTCTCTTATTTGAGTTGATCCTCCTGCTTCAGCCCTCCCAAGTGCTGGGATTCCAGGCATACACCATCATGCCTAGTGCTAGGAATCTTTTTAAAAGATTTTATAGTGAACTACTGTTTTTTTTTCATCATAGTGATCCAAACTGGTGGAAAGGTGAAACCCATCAAGGCATCGGGCTATTTCCCTCCAATTTTGTGACTGCGGATCTCACTGCTGAACCGGAAATGAGTAAGTATTTTTCAGTCTGTTGATGAATGATAGGTAACCCATAAACTTGTACTTCATTAGCTTTTGAAGCAGTGACTCATGGGTGCTAGTCCTCCAACGTGTTTTTTTTCCCCCAAGTGCCTGGGCAGATTATTTTCATAAAAACAGAAAAATAAGAATTGAAATCCTCTACCAAGATTAACTTTAGACACTGTGGACTTTTAAAAATTATCATTATGTATCTGCATAGATGCCATTGAACAAGTACAAATCTAAGTGTTACAGAATTACTAGTTTTTTTTAATCAGCTGGTAGAAATGTAAAGACTGTTCTATAATCACAAATGTTAGAACAGTTTTCTAGTGTCTTGCCCTAATAGCAGTAGGCTCAAAGCAGTATGGTGGTCCTAAGCCACCATGTCTGATAGACAGAGTCATATCAATGGATATTTAACTAATAGGTTTTTTTTGTTTGATTTCTAAACTTTTGCTGATGAAGAGTAATGAACTAAAAATAAAAAGTTTATTTATAGAAAGTTCACTTTTGGAAAAAAAGTGATACCTGTGGCATCCACAATAGCTGCAGGAATTGTAACTTAACTATATTTTGTTAAAGCATCAGGAAAGAGTTAACTACATTCCTATGTAATACATGAATCTTCATAGTGGTGAGCTTTGAGTCACCAAGATTTAAGTCATCATCTCTCTGTATTTAAGTAAATGAAAAATTTTGTACAAGCCTAGAAAGATTAATATTGATTGAAGGTTTCAGATTTTTAGAGATTTTTATGGGTTGTAACTCTGTGGCAGAACATCTGATTTCATCTTTATATAAATGTCGGAAGAGATCAAAGAAACATAAACTGCAAGATGATTGGTTCTTACTTAGTTAAAAAGAATTTGAAGAAAGGATATTGTCTTGGCCATCTTTTTTTTTCCCCACATCACCTAGAAATATACTACATTTCTTTATTTTAATTTTTATTTACTTACTTATTTTTGATACTGGGGATCAAACTCAGTGGATATAGCCACTGAACTATAGATCCCCATCCCTCTACATCAGTACTTATAGAAAAGATAATACATAAATATTTGTTGGCAGTGAAGATACTTCACTTCTCTCTGAAGAGAAGGCATTAACAAGCCAGAAATTACAGATTTCTAATAAAGCACTATCTTTATGTTACCTTTCTAAGACAGATTCCTGATATACATACTTCTTATCAAGGTCTTTTTTCTTGGAATTCAGCAATATGTATAATCTTGTTGTATAATCTTGTTTAAATGGTACTGTGTAGTATTCTCTGTGTGTGTGTTGGGTATGGAGGAAAGTAATTGGGGATTACTTATAGGGCCTTCACCTTCACTTTGAGCTATATCCCCAGCCATTTAATTCTTTTTTTTTTTTTTTTTTTAATCTTGAGACAGGGTCTTGGCAAAGCCACTAAGTTACCCAGACCATGCTTATGTGATCCTCCTACCTCAGTCGTCCAGAGTGCTATTATAGGTGTGCACCATCATACCATGTGGAAGATTTTAGTTCTGTCCAGTCCTATCTTGTTCATGTACTAGCAGTTGAATCCAGGGCCCTGCAAATGCTAGGCAAGTGCTCTACCATTGAGCCATGTCTCCTGCACTGTGCTAGCTTTTTAAATCATCAGACTTGTGGTGGTGTGTGTTCATATTCTGTATTTTGGGAACTTTCTTGGTCCTTGAATCAGCTTTTAGGAAATTGAGAATTGTCTTGGACTTTTGCTCAAGATAAGATCCAAAATGTCCTGTGGAGCACATTGCCATTGGATCTCTTTTTCTTCATATGACAGTGCAGCTTTAATGTAAATCTTTTAGTCCTTCTGTGAACGATCTAAAAGAGAAGCTGGAGAATCAGAGATGAAGTAATGTAGCTGTGTTTCTCAATTTGGAAGATAAATGCTAGATGTTTTATCTACCACATAATTAGTTGCTGTGACAAAAAGAACTATAATTTTCACCTCATTAGTTGTATGAAATCTGCCATGTCTTTTGGGTAACTGCCATAAAGAGCAAAATTACCTGTAGTAGATGCACTTTCCCATGAAGGATAAATGAATCAGCTGAAACTTTTTTGTATGTAGAATGTTCTGTTTTATGGTGACTCAAGTGGGCTGAATATCACCTTATATTGGGAATTACACCACTTCTGTTTTATATGGAAGTACACAACACAAAGTACTTAAGTGACACGACTTCTTGGACTCAGAGTAAAATCACAGGTCAGACTGCAGGATGGGGATGGGCAACTAAAGCAAAGCAGATTGGTATTCAAATCCAGGCTTTACCATTTGCTAGTTTTGTCTTCTGAAAGGATTTTTAGTCTTTGCAAACCACCTTATTTGTAAAATAGGCATATTACATCAAATTTGTTTTGAGATTCTTTGGGAGAAATGGAATATTCCTCAAGCACAATGATAGTGTAGTAAATACTTCTCATCACTGATTCTGCCACTGATGTTTCCCCTTCGATCTTGATTCTTAATATTTTTATGAATTCTGATTGACCTCACAGAGGGAAGAAAAAATACAGAAAGGAAGTTTATTCTTTTAGAATCAACATGCTTCTTAGTCTTATTGGGAAGATCCTTATTAATAATATATTTACTAGTTATATGAAATAGTTTTTAAAGATTGCTTTGGAGAGCAAGAGATGTGCTTCTGTCCATTGGTTGGCATTCTCTTAATGATCCACTGTCATTTCATAGTCTAACATAGCTAGAAAATCCAGGCTGACCTGTGGGACAGACATTTCAGGGCCCCATCAAGACCACTTGCAGGGTTCTTTGCTGGGCTGGGCGTCACTGTATTGTTGCAGTCTGGATGGCATGCCAGAAAGCAGAGAGTTGATTTTCAGTTCACCATGTTGAAATAAGGTGATATTTCTGTCAAATGAGGTTTATCTTTCAAGGACTGATAATTTAAGAAGAGAATTTGTTTTAAAGTATAGAGTTCACTTATGTCACTGTAAAATTCTGTATTTTCCCTCGCAATTTACTAAACCCTTATATAGTGGGTGACTAATTTTTTTTTAGAAAACGTACTTTTTTACTGAAATCTTTTTTGATGGAGTTCATAAAATCTTTACAAGTGAAAATTAAGACATTTTGACAGAATTTTAAGAATTTTGTTCGCACTATTTTTCCGTTAGCAGCCCAATTCTATAAATTGAGTTTATGCTTGAGGGGTATAAATGAAAAAATTTAAATTTATCTTAGATTTCCAACTTAGCATTTTAAATATAATCTTAAATGTGTTATAAGGAAAGATAATTTTCACATATTTTGCAGTTAAAACAGAGAAGAAGACGGTACAATTTAGTGATGATGTTCAGATAGAGACAATAGAGCCAGAGCCGGAACCAGCTTTTATTGATGAAGTAAGTAATTTCCTTGGTGGTAATGGTTGTACTTTGTGTCTTTGCTTTCTGTAAAGCAATCAGTTACTTGAATAATCTTGTATTGTCTTATTATAAAAATTCAAACCGTACGAAGTATTCCGGACACTTCCTCTCCAGTCCCCTTTTCACCATGTCAGCACTTCCTGTGCAGGGCCAGGGCTGAGGATATAGCTCAGTGGGATAATGCTTGCCTAGCAGATGTGAGGCTCTGACTCTGTTCCCAGAACTGGGGGACATTCCTGCCTAATACTTCAAAGAATAGACTCATGATTTAATTATTCTCTTACATACTATGGATGTTTCCAGTTTTTACTGCTATTGTATTGCAAACAGTGTTATAGTGAGACTTTTTGCACTTTTATCTTTCTATTTCTTTAGATATACAAGGATAGAACTGTCAAGTTGATGAATCTGTGTGTTTTCTTTGTTAATAGATATCGTCAAAGTATTATGTAAAGTGGCAATTTTACACTCACATTGATATAAAAATACCTGTTTCCCCTTGTACATAAGCAAATTAGAATTTTTGTTCATTACTGAGAGACACTTATTAACTATCTGTTTTGTGAATAAAACAAATTGCTGTTTCTAAAATTTAAACTGCTGTTAAATTACTACTACATAAACCATTTCATGGGAATGAATTATGGTTCCTCCTTAGCTAGAACACATTTGGGTACTTTGGAAAAGCTTATGCTTATTTCATGTTAAAAGTATCCATACATCATTGTCACATCTAAAACAATGCATGCTTTCAAGATTATGTTTGAAAATACAGTGTCAATTTGATGACTGCTCAATAGTATTTGAAGCTAAATAGTAGTACCTAAACTGATATATTATGATTTAAATTGAGATTTTTTTGAGCTAATATATCCTGTCTACTTAATTTTAAAACCCTCTGCTATTATTACATATAAGAAAGATTAAACTGGTTACTTTTTCATCTTTAAGCATGCTTGTGTTTTCCTTTTTCTATTCAGGCATTACTTTTTCAGATAGCAATATCAACATACTTTTTGAGCTAGCAATACAATATCAAAATACGGAAATGCAAACCATACAAGATATTATCACCTCTAGGTCAAATTTGGAACACAACTATGTTTGTTTACATACTATATGTGGCTGCCGCATGGGCAGAACTATGTAAGAGAGGATCATATGGCCCATGGCACCCTAAGCTTTCACTTTCCGAAAGTCTTCACTGGCCCCTGGTGTAGATTATTTTAGGAGAATCTTTTCAGATCCTCATTTTCTGTAAGTGCTGTTTCCTAAAATTGACCTGCCTGAGTGCAGTCTTTGCCACCACCTTTCTACCCTTTGCTCCTGCAATTTCCCTCTCCCACTGCACAGACCATGACTCTGTTTCTTGCCTATACTGAAGCTTACTGTGGTGCTTTGCCCAATAGTACAAAAATTTTCAGGTGCAATTTCAAATATTGGTGTTAGTTTAGGAAAATGATGACTCTAATGGCTAGGTAACACAATTGAGATGGTCTTACCTATTTTGCTACCAAAAAATAGTGAAACAAAATGAAATATCAATGAGTAGATATAAAAATATGTAAGTGACAGGCCACTATGATTCCAGCGTGAAACTGAAGATATTGAAAGAATACAATAATGCTAGAACAAGTTATATTGAGTTCAGGGAGAAAAAAAATGAACAGTTTGAAGTTCCTGATTGTTGTTTGCTTCTCTGTGGTGCTGGGATGAATACAGGGCCTTTGTAGGTAAGTGCTGTACCACTGAGCTACATTCTCTGTCCCAGACTGGTTTTTAAATAGTAATGGTGAATGTAAATTGCTGTCGTCTTTTAGTTCTTTTACATATATTTAGACTAATGTAACTTTTTATATAATGTCCTGGAAATCATATCCTTTGAAACATATTAAACTTCTGAAAAATGAGAAATCATGTTTAAAATTTGTGAAAGTCTTTATAGATTTTTAGCATTCTTTTAGAAGAGATAGAAGGAGATGATTTGAAGGTGGTTCTTTTAGAAAAACAGGGTGTAGAAAACTGCTAAAATCCAAAGAATCCAACTGGGTCAGGGAAAATTATATTAGGTGCGATTGCATCACAGAAGGAAATCCATGCAGTCAAACTGGTGCTCTGGAAAGAAACAAACCCCATGCCTCTGACAGCAGATAATTTCCGGTAGTATGTAATATTCTAGAAACAAACAAAGCAAATGCTAGTTGACAAGACAAATGCTATTCAAATGCTAGTTGACTCTCCATTCTCATTTTCCCTTTTTTTTTTTTTTTGATTGTACACAAACTTTTCTGATAAATGCCTTCCTTTTTGTAGACTTAAAGTTAAAATGATCAATCATTTGTTTTGAAAAGTAGTATCCATTTCAAAATACAGAATTCATTTGAGTTGAAATTTTAATACATTTTTGTTATTTTCACTTTAGTGATTAATTCATCCTCAAGCTATTTTCCTTCACAGAATAATATTTGGTTTTGTTTTGAATTACTGTTTTTCTTAGAATTAGTAGTCTTTAATTATTATGCCATTTCTAACCATATAAAAACTATGTATAGAGAACATTTTGTGATTATTTTAGTTGTATTCTTTGGTAGCTTAAAACTAGTTTGATTAAAAGTATATATGTACTTCTGTGATATACATTTATGTATTGTTGATTTTATTAGTTGTTTTGATCCTTACAACAGAAGATTCTAAAATAGATCTGAGCCATAGGTTTGAGATACCTTCCAGCCTTTCTCACATGGGAGAATATAGAAACTGCGAGTTTTCCTCCTTTAAATGACCAACTGAAACCTGGTGGAAAGAAAATGTAGAGTAAATCCTTATAGCACTTCTTCCAAGAACAGCTGTAATTGAGCTGAGCTCTGCCTTACTGAAACAGCTGCTGCATTCACCACTGGGGAGAACTCATGACTGAGTTATTAGTCATAGCAAGCCATGTTTAGTGGGCTGTCACACCTGTTGTGTGGCTGAGCTACAGCTGCCCAAAACAGTGTAAAATCCTTCAGCATGATACAGGGATTGAAGAATTCACACATTGTAAGTTTAAACCTGGCTTTGTTTTTTCTAATTTAAGAGAATCTCTGTTAACAAAAATACATAGGAATGGCTTTCCAGGGTCTAACTTCACATGATACTAAAGAGAATTCTTGGAAGCTAAAAACATGAGCAAAATTAAAGTCTTTGTAACTATAAATTATAGAAGTTTTATGCCCATTATATGGTTAACAAAGTGAAATATAATGTTTCGTTAAGATTTGAAACTTTATGTTGTTTAATTCCGGTAGGATAAAATGGATCAGTTGTTACAGATGTTGCAAAGTACAGATCCCAGTGATAATCAACCAGATCTACCAGAGCTACTTCATCTTGAAGGTAAGTCTTGTATTTGCCTTGCAAAAACAGAATAACTGGAGATTATATCTACTGTACAGGAAAACAAGGAGTTTTGAGAATCTTATAAATGTAACATTTTTCACTTTTTGTTGGTCCAGCTTTACTTCTTAAACATTGGATAAAGTCTGAATTCTTATACTTTTTAATGCAAATTAAATATTTTACTCAGCTTCTTAGAAATGAAAAAGTGTTAAATTTGGAGGTATTTTAGTTTTAGATTCAGCTGTCACCATTATACTTTTAAGAAAGTCGAGTTTGAGTTGTTGACTAAGATTAATTAATGTAATTTGTATTATTCCAAGTTAAACTTAATTATATGAATGTTTCTTAAAGTTTCATTTTTTTGTTGTTTTCTTTTTTTAATTTTATTTTAAAGAGGGTAAAATTAAACATAACAAAATAGATCATAAAAAACAATGTAAGAGGCTCGGATTTCAAAGTAAGACAACCGGAGACCTTCACTGTCTGTCATCCTGTCTCTTGTTTTCTTCCAAATAGTTGTCCACATCTTCACATAGAGTGAATTCATACAAAACAAAATAGTATAAAACTGATCCGAACAGGATGATGAAGGTATTTTAGGTCTTCAAGACCAGACAATAGAGAAGTCAACAATGGCTGCCATAATGTCTCCCATTCTCTTCAAAATAGCTGTCCATACCTCCATGTGTTGAAATTAAACAGTACGAAACAGACTGAAAATCACTGTGAACAAAGCACAATAGCACTGCTGGATTTTGCATCATGATGCCACTGAATCAGCACTGAGTATCTTAGTGTCTGTTTTTCTTCAAAGTAACTATTCATTTCATCATGCACCATATAATCGATTCTCATAAACTGTTTAGAGTGCTACGCATGCATGAGTCTCTAAATGTATACCTATCCTTTCTGTATTAGAGGGAAAAACAGAACAAACCAAGACAAAACAAAACAAATTCGTAGAAACACAAAACAAAAAAGACATATAAACAACAATAAAACAAAGAGCCCAGAACACTGAAATATAGGCCTTCAAAACAAGGTGGGATGAGCATTACTAGGGTTATTATTTTACATAATCATCTTTAACAGTCCCTCAGATCACCATACAATAATACGCACAATTGTTCCAATCTTACGAATGTTAACTATTTTGTTCCAAGAACTTACTTATATCTTTAATTCTTGTCACTTTAGCAATGTGTCACCAAATGGGACCTCTCATTGATGAAAAGCTGGAAGACATTGATAGGTAAAAGAGCATGTATTATTTCTGATTGTGTACTTTCTTCCCTGAAATCATATCTATAAACTGCAGAATGGATTATATCTGCCTTTTTAAAGAAGATACTTCAAGTTGCGCATAGTAGTATACACCTGACATCCTAGCAGTCTGGGAGACTGAGACAAGTGGATCACAAGTTCAAGTCTAGCTTGAGCAGCTTAACAAGACACTGTCTAAAAATAAAAGAAACAAAATGGTTATTATTTTTTTTAAGTTAGGGCAATAGCTCAGTGCAGAGGTTTTGGGTCCAATCCATTGTTCCAATATCATCATCAAGGGATAATTAAAAAGATATTCCAAAGGAACCATTCCTTATTTTATTGTTTTTAACTAAATATGAAGAATTGGGTTTGTCTTTTTTTAAAAATAAGGACTTTGTTCACCGTTTTTATATTAAATCTTTTTAAAAATAAGAGGTGATATAATCATCTTTCGCATTACCAGGACCCACACATGAATCATGAGGAAGCCTACTTATTTCAAGGTAGAGTTAAGTACAGTATGCAAACTTTAAACAATCTGGTTGCATCTGGTCTAAAATATAAGATATATGTGTCACAAGAATAGTCTTCACTGGGGATATAGCTCAGTGGTGCAAGTACCTGCCTGGCAAGCACGTGATCCTGAGTTCAATTGCTGGCACCAAAAATACATATATATATAAAATACATACATTAAATATATATACATATATATATATTTAATAGTCTTCTAGTGTTAATTTTTGGTATTGTTCACATTTTATTGTATTTTCTAGAACATTGTATCATTTAAGTGAGCAACTGTGTTTCAAATTATTGTTTTATGTTTCAGAAAACATTCAGAACTCTCAGAACTTAATGTCAAAGTAATGGAGGCACTTTCATTGTATACAAAGTTAATGAATGAAGATCCAATGTATTCCATGTATGCAAAATTACAGAATCAGCAGTATTACATGCAGTCGTCTGGTGCTCAGGTTAGCTATTATAAACTCAAATATATTTAAGTTCTCTAATGCATGCAAAGTTATTGAGAATAGTATTTTTGTGAAATGTGAAAGTAATGTTTAGAATGAAAATGATGCTTAATCAAATTTTTTGATGAATACAAATAACGTGTTAAATGTGGGGGTTTTTTTGGTCCTGACCTAGAGCTACTGAATCAGAATCTTTAAAGTTGAAGGCTAAACATCTATGTATTTTTAGAACTTCGTATGTAATTATCTGGAAAAAAACAATTTTTATTATTCTTAAGTCAGATTTCTAATTGTTATTGAATTCTTCAGAGAGTGTAAGGCTTTTTTTTTTTTTTTTTGAGCAAGCTCCTTAATTTAGATGTTCTTATCACAAAAAGAAAAAATAAAGTGGATGGAGAGTGGGAACTCGTAAGTCGCTTGCTATGTGTATGGCGTAGCTTATGGTGATGGCTTGAAGAGTGTATATTCACCTCCAGACCTATCAAGTTGGATACAATAAATATATACAGCATTTTCTATATCAATCATATCTCCATAAAGTATATTCTTAAAAACTCACAAATTAAAGTATACCATTTCCAGAAATAAAAAACAAAGCTCTCTTAAACATCTAATGAACGTCTACTTATTCTTAAAAGGGAAACATAAATGCAGTGGAAAAGAATGATCTGAAAAGCTTTTATTAATTAACAAAACACAGAATTTCTGTATATTTTTTAAAAGCCACCTTAACATTGAGTTTCCCCCCCCCTTACATTAGAGTGCATATAATGCAAATATGGAGCCCTTTTCTTTCTTTATCTCAAACAACTGTTGCATGTTCTAGTTATAGGAGTAGCTAGCCAGATAATTGTTTTGTCCACTTACAGTGGCCACAAACTTTGTTCAGATCATTTTTTCCCATGGGCCATGTCCCCTGAAATGCGGGTCAGCTCCGTGGAGGTAAGAGCCAGGCCCCAGAAACACGAAGCACCTTCGTCACCCAATTCGAGTCAGGCAAATAATCAAACTTCCACATTCAGTTTGCAAAGAACAATGGAATACAGTTATAAGGATTGACACAGGTGTGTTTGCACCTTTCAGCAGCATCATACCATTTTGGAATGTGGTGAGTCTCTTAGGATTTAGCAGAAATATAAGATGATTGTTGTTCAGGTCTCATAGTTTGTTATTGTCTTAACACTTGAATGATCTTACCACATAGCCAGTAGAAGTTCTTTTGAAACATAGGTAATGGATACTGCAGGAAATTAAAACACACATAAGATTTTGAATATTTAAAGCTTCAATCTCAGGGCTGGGGATTTAGCTCAGTAGCATAAGTACCTGCCTTGCAAGCAGGCGGTCGTGAGTTCGATCCCCGGTACCGATAAAAATGAAAAAAAGACACACACAAAAAAACTTCAGTCTCTTTAGATTAAAAGCATACAGGTTTTATTAGAATTCACCTGCTGTCACTTGTTTCAGCATTCTGTACCTATAGAATTAAATAGTTATATGGCATAAAAACCTTAAATATTTGCCGTCAAGCCCTTTATAAGAAACTTTGCTGACCCCTGCTGTAGGAAGATAGCTTGCTCAGGGCCCAATAAGTTTCACTTTTAGAAATATAAATTATAGATGCAGGCTATAACAAAAAAGCAGTGAATTCACACTCCTAAATATTGTTTGGACTTTTTAAAAAAAATATCAAGGTGGAAAGTGTTAAATATGTTTAATGAAAAATCAGTTATATTAATATAAAGTTTCATGAGTCCCTTCATTGGTTAAAAACAAAAGTCAGTAGTCCACATCACTTAAAAGTGTCTTTTTGTAAAATACCTGGGGACAGAAATAAATACTTTTTCTCTGGTTTTGAAAGTGTGTTAAAACTTCATGTGGGAATATGTTTTCTCATTGGCTGCTGTAGGTCTACCCAGGGCCTCCGCAGAGTGGTGCTTACATGGTTGCAGGGAGTGCACAGATGAGCCATCTCCAGAGCTACAGCCTTCCCCCGGAGCAGCTGTCTTCTCTCACTCAAGGCGCGGTTCCTCCTCCATCCGCCAGCCCAGCCCTTCCTAATCAGCAGACCCCAGCTTCCTACCCCAAGTAATTGGATTATTGGTGTTGTTTGGAGTTGGTGCTATTACAGCTTTTCAGCTGCCTGCAGGCAGACAGCGCCTTTGTGGTGTGCAGAGTTCTCCAGGAAGCCCTCTGGTATCTAGAGGACCAGCTGCAAGCCAGTCCTCTGTTTGACTCGCTAAGCTGTATTTTGCTGATAGTTTTATATATTTTTGAATATTCCTATCAAGTGTTTGTGTTGAGTCTGTGATACTTGATACTTTTTTTAACAATACTAGTAAATATATCAATTTCTCACAAATTTTTTATAAAATCTAAATTCTGTTATTAGAATATATATAACGTGGGCTGTTTAAGAAAATATTTTATTTTGCCCTTTGTCAAAATGTTATTGTAGAAAGCACAATATTTGAAAGAAGGCACAAGCATCTGTGCTTCTATGGCCCTTGGGACAGAGAGCTGGCTATGAGATGACAGGTCCAGTTCTTTTTGGCATTTACTTATAATGTTGTCTGCCGTGCAGTTAAGTGGTTATAATTTATATAATGTCTTTTTTAAATTAATGAAAATGTAAGCCAGATTGGTTCCTTTGAGACAGAAAGTAGTAAGTTAAGAGTTTACCCAAGTATATTCTACAAGTCATGGTATTCTGACATGCAGCAAAGATGTTGAGGTGGCACAGGCACAATTTCTGAAACCTTTCTTATCAGTGCTCCTTTACTGTCCTCAGAGAGGAGGCTGGAGGTGCTTCCGGAATATTCAGGCATTATTGTCTTGTCCTATCTAGTATTCTGAAGTGACCTTAAGAAAGGAGGTCTAACATTTACGGGGTGTTTAACATATGCTAGGTACTGAAGGAGATAACCCACTTAGCTAAGTCTCAAACCAGGCATTCTGATTGCATTGCTGACACCTGATTAGTATAATTTTGTGGTCCATCCTGATAAAATAATAGTATGAAAATTTAGTTTGGTTATAACTTTATATTTTACATTGCCACACATATTAAAGGATAATTGGTGATGTAAATAGCGCAGGCCCTGGCACATACTAAACACTCCATAAGTATTAGTTATTACCGTACTGTCAACTTGATACCACTTGATACCATACTTCCTGTCTCAGTTTACAGTTCCACCATTCACCCAATGACTTGAGTTGTTACCCTACAATTCATGCAATACTTCTCTCCCTTATCTCTATTCTGTACTTTCTCCTCAACATGTTGCCCATGTATGCAATTATTTGTTTTTCTAAATAACTCTTTTCCATTAATATCATTTCATCTTGTAGTTAGACTCTCATCATTTCTTGCCTGATCTACAAGGTCCTCTAGCTTATAATCTTGACCTGTGAATCTCTCTATCTTGTTGTCATTTAAAGCTCTTAATTTTTAAAATTATTTTTTATGAGAGCACATTAGTAATATAGAATGGTGAATTTTATTTTGGGAAATTGGTATGTGCATTTAAAATATCTTGATTATTTTTAACCCCTTTAACCTCCTCCCTTTATGAACTTCCTTATTATCTGTTATGTAAGGCTCAAGTTCCTTAACATGCTACTGAGGGCCATTCATTCTTCAGTCCTTGTCAGCAACTCTGTATGTGTCTGACTTCTCTAACCGTAAACTCTATGTGTCTGACTTCTCTAACCGTAAACTCTAAGCTAAAGTAATAAGGTTCTGGTGGTAGTGCTTGCCACATATCAGGCCTTTCAGACTTTTTGTCTTTGCTCTTGGTAAGGATAGGTCCCATGCTGTTCCCTATCACTATAGTACATCTGTGCTCATGGCAGATTTTGTAGATTGATCCATCATCGTCACTATTTGTGGCTTTTGGAAACTGCCACTTTTTCCAGTGGGCAGTAAGGTTGACCTAGGATGACAGAAGTCTGAAAAAGTATTAACTCTAAAGCTATAATTATATGTAAAAGAAATAGGCTTCTAGGTGTGAACTGAAAAGCATTTCCAAAAAACCAGAAACAACTACCTATCAAAAACAACTACAAAAATCGTCATTGTCCCTGATTTGCAACTAGAAAGCTTGAGTCACATATAATGCAAGTCGATATCTTATCCTGGTCCTTACAACTAGGTTTATCTTACATCTGCTCTGCTGTTGGTTTTCTTCTCCACCTAAACACATTTATTTTTATGTAAGTATCTGTAGTATACATTTATATGTATTTAAATTGTCAAAGAGTCTTTGCAAAGCGGGAAGTTGTAATGATTGTTTAAATATTTATTAAATATTTACTGAGTTCCTATCTGACATAGAACCATATTACACAATGTAACTGTAAAAGTCAATAACACTCAGTTCTGGCTCTTAAGTTATGGTATTTGGGCCTGTAGACAAGTAAAAAGGCAGATGCTAGGAAGGAAAAGTGACCGGTGTGCCGTTGGATCTTCTTACGACACAAGACATAGCAAAGCAAGCAGGCTTCATCTTAGCAAAAATGAAGCTACGAACCAACAGATAGAATAAGCCAGGCCAAAAAGGCAGAATGTGTCAAGGTTGTGCTAGGACAAAAAGCACCTATTGGAATGCTTCTTCACAGGTGACGAGTAGATGTGCTGTATTGGTAGGGTCAGGCCCCGTACACTCCATATGACATCACATAGGGTGTCGTTTCAGATCTGAGTAAGTATAGGCACAGATAAGTAGAGTGGTGTGTATATAGAAAGTCTTTTATTTCTTCTGTGTGTATATATATATATATATTTTTTTCCCTTTTGTATATTTTTAGGAAAATAAGAGAAATGAAATGATCAGACTTTCGTCTTTACTATTCCATTGGATTTTTGTCAAGAACACTGGTGATTTCTCCAGCTCCTCTAGTCGTTTCTCCCACCCTCTTAAGTCCAATTCCGTTCTCTTTTTAGAAATACTTTTCACTGACTTGTGACCATTGTCTCTTAGTTTTCCTTGTGCTTCATTTACTCCTCATTCTCCATTGCCTAGTGCCTCTTTAGCTTCTTGACTTCAGGACATCTAGAGCTTGCTCTGTGAGCTGCTTTTTTGTCTGGTAGTGGTTACTTCCTAGGATCTCTTGTAGCCGTGAACATTGAATTCTGACTGAACATTGCACTTGCTGTTGGCTCCCAAGTGGACTTGAATAGCTGATTGCTATGTTTTCTGGCATCTCATTTGACATATCCAAAACCATTCTTTAATTTTTCCCATATCCCTTCCAGTCCAGTTCATTGTTTTCTAGTCTGTAGTTTTCTTCTCAGTGAATGGGCACTCAGCTAGATGGTTTTTTGTTGTTGTTGTTGTTGCTGTTACTGTTTTTTGTGGCTTATAAAACTTCAGACATTCTTGACTACTTTGTCCATTAACCACTTTCAGTGAGACTATTTCTAAAACTGATCCTTTTATCCCATCTCCACCATGGCTCTGGCCCCATCATCTGTCATATGAGAGAATCTAGTAGCCTCTAGCAGTCTCGCTTCTATTCTTGTTCCAGAGACAGCCTATTAGAACCTAAGTCATCACATTACCCTTCTCAAAAGCAGCCAGTGTCTGTTGATCTCACTCGGAATCCTCGTGGTCTTCAAGACACTGTGTTCTAAATTACCTCCCCCTCAATTCTGCTGCTTACTATTATGACATCCTGATACTCACTTGCCTGCAGTCCTTGTGGTGTTGTTTCTTGAACTTAGCTGGCATTTTCTCTTTCAAAGAGTTCTTTTTTGTGGCCCAAAATATATTTTCCTGGATAATTGATATGATTCCCTTCTTTTAGGTTTTTGCTTAAATGTTGCCTTTTCTGAAAGGCCATCTCTGCCTCTCAGGATTAACTAGAATCTCTTGTGCCAAGGACTTTGATCCTTTGTGCCATGCTGTTTTTTTTCATAGCAGTTATAACTTGTTGACGTATTACAGATTTCTTTGTTACCCTCTCCCTACTTGAATTTAAGGCCCCACAATGAGAGGAACTTTTTTTTTAATGTCACAGTTCCTATAACAACGTTTGATACATTATAGATATTTAATAAAAATTATCAAATAAATTTAAATGAATAAATGTTTGATTAATAGCTTTTCTGTGTATCTCTGAATGGTTGTATACTGCAATATTTAGCTCACTGAATGTTTTTCTCCATCCACAGTGCAATGGTTAGTTCTGTTCAAGGAACTACGTATCCCAACCAGGCTGCAATGTATAGTCCTCCTCCTGCCGCTGCTGTTGCTGCAACTGCTGATATCACAATCTACCAGGCTGCAGGAGCTAGTATGTCCCAGGTGCCAAACTATACCTTAACGTCGTCCACCCTGTCGCAGCCAGGAGCCAGCCCACAGCCAGCTCAGCCACAGCAACCCTATTCTCAGAAGGCTCTGCTATAGGACCAAGTTTTCTTCTTTGTGGCAAGCACCTGCTAAATGCCGCTGACAATGTTACAAGATCCATTAATATCTTGAGATTGGTTTATCCTCGGCTTATATGAATCTGTCTTGGTCAACAAATTCAAATATCCAAGAAGGTAAAACGCTCCGATTTGCACAGACATTTTAGAGGTTGACCCCTCCTTCTCCCCCAGAGGAATGAAACTACTTACAACATTTAATTCCTTTCATAATATGGAGAATTGATACAAGATTATTTGTCTCGTAAAATTACCTGGTCTGCAAAAAGTCAAACTTACAAAAACTGTTGTGGCATATGTTATGTATATATATTGATATATAACTTCATTAGTGGCCATTTGAATCACAATGGTGATCATGTGAATATATTTAACACTGTGTTAAATTAATTTACTTTGCTATTTTATTGTAACCACAACTACTTTGTTTCCTAATGTTTTATGCAAGGTTCTTTCAACTGCAAGAGAACAAAGTTGTAGCATATTCAAGTGAAAGCATTGTTGTCCAACCTTCCCTTTACTAATTTGCTAATTATGAGCTCAACTTAAGTATATTATGTCTTTCTGTAGCCTCTGCGTACTACTGGCTGTCATCACACCAGCGTACAGTAGCTAAATTTTTGGTGCAGTTATAAAAATGATAATGTTCCCTTTTAAGCTTACATTTTGGCATGATATTTCAGATGTTGTGGGACCATGAGACAAAATTAAGTAGGATCATGTTCTTTATATTTTCTTTTTAAAGAAATAATGTCTATTTCATTTTTACTAGTTGAATAGTAATTAGGTTTCTGAGCTGTATACTGTGTTCATTGGTGGCAGTAACACCAAAGATAGAGGCAATGAATAGAAATTTTTAAACTGGAAAGAAACGTGAGTTACACTACATTTTCAGTCTCTTATAATTATTTGGGATAGGAACAAATTTGATTTATCTTTCTTACCCTCCTACTAATCTTTAAATATGTCTTTTAATACACTGTATTCTTTGATTCTTCATTAAAATGAATATAAGTAGATCTTTCAAAATAATTCATATTCCTACATTTCTTTATCAGTTTATGTATTTATTATTACCTTTCAAACTGGAGTTATGGGTTGCTTTCTTTCCTATAAAGTTCTGATGGAATTATTTTGGCTCATATTTTCAAGTATTTTTGAATGAATGTTTCTTTTTTCATTCATACGAAAAATATTTTTCACAGACATTTTTATCATAAATATTTATAATTTCCCTGGTTGTGCTCTATTATAATTTTAACACCATTGTTCTGAAACACTGAAAAATTGAGTTGAATATCATGTTCAATGAGTTGATTTAACATGTATCATACTATAAATGCAAGTTTGATTTGTGTTTTCTAAGGTAACTGTAATTAGGTGGATTATTTGACAAATGACTCCATCGTTGGCAGTTAATAGTAATGGTGACTGATTTTACAGGTTCAGATTTAAAGCACCATCTTCAATTTAAGTGTTTTATGCTCGTGTATTTTCTTGAGTTTAAAGTATATTGTCCTGAAACACTAATTTTAAAATTTCCATTCAAATTCCATTACTTTTGATACACATTGGGTTGAAAAGATTATAATCTTTGTTCTAATTTGAATATTGTGGTTTAACTGATACACTTCCCAGGTCACACTGTATTTTCCTCTTATTTTTTGTTTACAACTGTATCCTTTTCCCAATTTAATTTTGATATCCTTCATGTTATAAAATCAAATAAGTATTTTTAGTATGCTTTTTACCCTCTGAAAGTCAAAGCGTGGTGAAATACAAGAAACCCACGAACCCTGTGTTTATGACAGTGCATATACCATTTTCCATTACCTATTCAGTTATTGGGCTTATAAAGATTTAAATGATGAGCACTTACAGTGAATACCATATTAGTTTATGCTTTTTCATTTATTAAGAATGAATATGCCAAGTGAAAAATGTTCAGTGAAAATCGTAATACTTGCTTTTCCATCTTTCATATGACACAACAAGGATAGAATAGAAGGATACCAGTTAGGGTCACAAGGGATTTTCTGTTGTGTTGCACTTTCAAGGAATCTTTCATTAATAGATGTCCTTATTTTGAAGGAGTAGAATTTATAAAATCATCTAGCTATAATGTAAACTTCTATGAAGCCATTTTTATTTCTCAGTTTGTTTATTTCTTTCATAAACTTTGAGATATGTTTCCATAAAGGTGACACTAAGTGGAAAAAATTCAATCCAGTTACTATGTAGCATAAATAGTCAACAGACTCATTGGATGTAATAATCAGTGTCCTAAAACTTATACTAGTGATTTATCATATATGCTTAATATGGTTTTACAGTCTTTTCTAACTTTATGGTCTTCCTCTACTATTACCTATTTCCCCACTCAGTGAGGGACCTTTTGATATGCCAAAGGATTCCCTTCATATTAAATACTTGTGGAACTTTCTTCCTATACCTATTAGTTCTTAGTTCTTAAAATGCTTAGAAGTCCATTGTTCATTTCTGATAGACACAGTTTCCTAGGTAACATATGTCTTAATTGAGCTTAAAATGTGTTGTGTCTAAAACATTAAGGTGGTATGAGAAAAACATGATGCCCTATGTAATAAACTGCAACTCTATTTTCCAGAATGAGATTGATTGGTACAATCAAATCTTTGTCTATTATGCATTATTTTCTTTTTCTCATCTGTTTCCTTACCAGTTGTACTAATAATTATTCTCTTTGATTATGTTGCTTTTAAATTTTAATAACAAAACTATAGTTTAAAATTTTCACTCCTGTATTTCTGTTTTGGTGGTTTTCTTTTGTTTGTGTGGTTTTTCTTGGGGGAGGAGTTGGGTTTGGTTTTATTTAGGTTGACTAACTGCTTTTCTTCTTAGAACAAAATATGTAGAAGTAACTTGTGTATATTTTCTTTAAGGTCTTATAATTACCTTTTACTTCAGAAGGGAAATAGGAATTACTAAGTTGGCTTCCTAAAGTTAAGTATCTATCAATGATGTTTATCTGACAACTTTTTGTATTGAGATTTTTCATACCTATAAAAAGATTGAAAAAGTAATATATCAAACACCCAAATATTCTTCATCTAGATTAACTAATCATCTCCTTAGTGTATGTTTATGTGTACAAATCTGTATTTGTATACAGATGTGTCCATCTACTCACGTATACATTTTTGTGTGGATATAAAAGTTATGGACATTGTAAACTGTGTTTCTAAGTACTTCATGCATTTCATAAGGATAAGGAAGGACAGTCTGCCATAAAACCTAAACTATTATCACATAACTATTTCCTGGTAGAAAACTAACAGGAATTCTGTAGTACTTTACCAAGTGACCTCCAGATTCCTTATATATAATTTGAGTTAATATCCGTGTCACTCCATTCCCTCAAGATACTGCCTTTTTAAAACTTTACACTATTGTCTTGTGGAAAGTCACATTCTGAACGTACCTCTGTTTCTCGATGGTGTTATTTTACTTGGTGATATATTCTTGTAGTGGGTGTTATTACATATTTCAAAAAGAAATTGAAACAGCAATATATGATTTCTGGTTAGAAGTAATGAGACTAATTTCAGACTTAGGTATACTTACCTAAACATTGTTAACTTTTAAGTGTCTGTACAATAGATTGTAACAAGCTGTTGATGTTACTGCAGCTCAGTATACTTTTGTGGTCTTCATTTTCCATTGTCTTCAAAGCAGCTGAAGAAAATTGGTTCAAAAAAGAAACCCCAAAACAAAAGTAAATCTTCACTTTTTGCCATTCAAATAAAAATCAGCTTTTCTTGGTTTGTTTACCCACTTAATGTTGATGGATCCTGCGTCATGTTAGAAATGTAATCAGCACTTAACAGTGCTATACCTTTGGGTTCATAAATTTTGGAATGTGTTTTAAAAGATTTCTCATTATCTTGTAGCCTTCTATGAAGATGCTGAAATTGCTGCATTGGAGGGAAGTTTCTTTAAAAAAAAAAAATCCGGACTGTTTGATTTTCTCCAGGTGGTTACCAGGCAGGGAGCATGTTGAATAAAATACATAAGCAACAGCCAAGTTAGGAAATACGTGCCAGTTAAAATAATCTATATCACCTGGTTTTTTATGTCAGCTTACATGAGGTGGGTACAATGCAAACAGGAAAACTTGTGTAAAGCATCCATATGATATGTTTATTTTTCTCTGAACAAAGACAGAAAATAAATCAGTCTTACTGTTTTGGAGTTGGTTCTTCAGAGAAAAAGTTTTCAATATAAGTATCTTTGATACTCTGTAGTTTACAAAAATAATGGTAACATACTCAGGAGTTGCTGTAAATGCAACTGAAGTTATCAGAAACACAGGAAAACAATACTTGTCAAAGACACTTCATAGTTCATTTCTAAAAATGTTGGTGGCACATTATAAAGTACATTAATTTGCATTGTAAATGTATAATTTGTGGCTGTGAATTATAAAGAATGTGCTAGATGGTGGTGATGGTATTTTGTGTTGAAGGTGAAAATAAGAACTATGTTAAATTGTAGGAATTTACTGGTTCATTTCACTGTTAGGCATTTCAGTTTATTGACCCAGGAATTTTCACCCAGATACAGTTTCCATCAAAAAGGTGACTTGGTAGATAATGTGATCGTGGGCAGCTCCATGAATCTCTTGGAGTTGCCTTCTACTTATTTGTAATTCCTAAGGCTTAATGCAACTGCCTAATTCTTTGTAGCTTGCTAAAATTCAGTGCTTTATGTTCTTTACTCCTGTCTACCCAAAATGTGTCTGGCATTGAGCCTACATATCTCACCTCTGCCATGGAATTCACCTTCTGTTAGCTTAGAAGAGAAAAAAGAGCAGAGTAGCATTGGTTACTATGGTACGGAAAATTGGGAACATGATTTCCAGCATGGTCTTAACAGTTTACTTTCTGCAGATAATGTGAGGATACTGTATTTCCACTGTTCAATTGTCAAGGCTTTTTTTTTTTTTTCCTATTTGAATGTCCCTACCAGGAGCATTTGTACACTGGGTAGAAGTGCTTTCACTGGTACTTACTTGGGGGAAAACAAGCTCTGGGACATACTGTATTTGTATACTGTGTTAAAGTAAGGAGATAAGTAGCATCAGACTATGTGAAATTTTATTGTCTTGGTGTTCCAGTGGGCAAAGTGGTGCCTGTGGTCCTATTGGCCATAAATGATAATAGAGGAAATATGCTGCAGTTACCATGATTTAGCTGTTTGGCTTACGTGAGTAGATTGCTAAGGTTCTAGAGCGCTATGCAAAATGATTTTTGCTAGCTAAGACTGTCTTCAGATAAGCTGCAAAATGTTGGCATCACAAATACATGCCTAGAAAAAATGCCATGTATGCCATTTCTTTACAGGTTATTAATAAGTAAAAATAATGTAGCTATTTAAGAAAAGTCAATTGTGTTGTTCATTACATAAATCCATTTTTATACTCAAAACAATTCCACATGTATCTGCTTTTAGTTTTCCTGCTTTAGAAAATTAGTTACCTTATGGACACTTAAAAGAACTTTCATAAGTTAGTTTCTATTATTTAATGTAATATGTTAAAGAAGTAATGGTTTATTTCAATGGTTTATTAAGTAAACTAGATGAGCTTTCTATTCTTCTTTTGCAGGGAGTAAAGATACACTTTTCTATTTATTACTGATTGTAATCTCCCCTTTTTTTTTCTGTCCCATCCTAATTTTTCAAGGGTTGTCCTAAGGAATACTAATTAGGGTTTGCTGCCCCTACCAGAAAAAAGTTTTTGTTTCACAGTAAATACTAATCCTGTATTCATACAGTTAATATTCTTTCCTTTGAAAGGCAGCTTAGCTTGTATTAGAGTTTAGTGAAATATTTGAATATCACAACTTCAGGGCTATTTCATTTGTGTAATTGCCAAGTATTAATTTACTTGGAGCAGGAAGGTAGTCCATTAGATTCACTTCAAGTTATCTAATTTGTTTTTGAAATTGAAAGATTTGTTCTAGGACAGAATTTCACTAGACTGCAAGTTATTTTGGTTACTCATTAAACTAAGTATTTTTACTTTTCTGCTTGCGTTTCATATTGGAAAAAGAATGTTTCTCAAGGTTGTTGGTCTTATGGGAACAAATTCTGTGTGTAACTCTCATCCAGCATTTGTAGCTGTTTAACTATGGACAGTTGTATATTTGAAACACAGGACATATCCCCAATTTTTGTTTTCTGGAGCATAATTATTAAAACTTGATTCTGTTTATATTAGCAGAGAAAACCAAAAGTGGTGTTAAGGTCATGCCAAATGTTTCATGTGTGCTATAATTAAAAATGGTCAGAAAATTGTTTTCAAAGTCAAGTAAAAGAGAGTGGTAACATAATGGAAAGGTATTTAAATAATATAATAGTTTAATTAAAAGTAATCATCATGCAAGCATGGTTGTGCACACTTCTAATCCCTGCACTCTGGGAGGTTGATACAAGTAAATTGCAGGTTAGAGCCCAGCCTTGGAAACTTAGCAAGACTTTGTCAGAAAATAAATGCTTGGGGGGTAGCTCACCCCCTGCCATGTAATCACTAAATTAAAACTTAAATAGCATGACTTAGATTACCATGCTAAATGTCTTCTAGAAATTATACTCCTTTTCTTTGTATCTATTTGTATCATTTTAATCAAGTACTGTTTATAACTCACATATCTATAAACTTATTCCAAGGGCTGTCATTAAAATACTTTACAGATTGTTTAAAATTAGGTTAGGAGACATCTGAATATTGGTGGTGGTTTTCAGCAGATAACCTGTGTGGTGTTCTCCAATAGTTATTTTTTGTGAAATGGAACTCAATTGGTGAATTACATATAAATGCACATGATGCATTCTAAAAATCCCTATGTTCTGCAAAAGTCTTCAGTAAAAAAGCCCCAGGATTTGGGGGGGAAATGAGGTTAGAGACACAGCACTTGAAAATTTCAGTAATGATGTACTTAAGAATAAAGGTAGGAACCTAATACAGCACGGTGTTATACATGTTGAATGGTTAAGAACTACATGGATATGACCACACAAAAGAGACCTAAAGTGGGTATCGGAAGAGCTACAGCTGCCAGAATTAATGGGCAAGTTATAAAACCAAGTATGGAGGAGTGTGACTGCGCACTTGTAAACGGAGGTTGCTGGTGATGTATGTGAATGTGTGTGCACATATGTGTATGTACGTGTAGATGTTTTGTGTATTCCCTTGCTAGCTGTTGTTTTCCTCATCTGTTGTTTCTCCTTGGACAAAATGATACATGTATACAACTGAAATTTATGTTTTCCCTAGTTAATCTCCTGAAACAAATCTGTTTTCCAAGCAAATGCTCTAATAGTTCTAATAATGGCCCTAAAAGTCATTTAGAGGAGAACGAGTGACTACTCACCACTTATTTCCAACTTAATACGCTTTAAGAATTCTAGGCAACATCTAGAATTTTCCTTCTTACCATATCTGAAGTGACTTCAGTTTAACATAAGAACACCTTCAAAGTCAAATATTTTTGTTAGCTACTGATGATGGTTCTTCATTTGCTTGGACCAAGTATATACATGAGTTTCAAGATTTACTAACTGCTTTCTGAAGTTTTAAAGAGCACTAAATCGCACTATATCTGGCAGGAATTTCTTTTAAGTATGTGAATATCTACAAATCTCAATGCTTGAATCCAGGTCTTCACAAATTCAGATAAACTTACTGAAACAAGCAGTAAATGTAGTAATGATCCACTGTACTGTCAAAAATAAATGTTGTGCAGTATACTGTGAGGTTGTCTATAGGTCATATGTTCTCCAGCTCCTGACATGGCATAGAGATATGCACTAGGAAGGATACTGAGCCTGGCTTATCGCCAGGTTACAATCTAAACCCTGTTTAATCCAAATTGTAGCATTTGGGTGATGATATGTTGAGCTTAAATACCACAGATGCTCTATAGGAAGACAAACTCGAAGTCCTTGCTATTCTCGGAGTGAGGTCAGCTCGTGCTGCTTTTCCATCAACAGTGGGACTCATCTCAAAGCTCAGACTACTCACTCAGTGCCAGCCTGCTGTCTCCCGTTCTTTTCCCAGAGATAAAGGGATGCTTGCTTTCTACTTTCATGACTTGTAGCTTGAGATGCATTTTCTTTTTTTGATCCACTAGAAGACTTAATCCTTCAGCTCCTCATCACTCCCCAGAACAATTTTTTTTGTTGTTAAAAATCTGATAACATCTGAAATTTGGTCTGTGTAGAATGAATTTTTTCAAAAGAAAGTAAAAGATGTCATGACTAGGTGATTTCCTAAAAATACAGATTTTTGGTTTTCTGAAAAACCAAAGAATCTAGTAACTTTAGATTTTACCTTCCCACAGTTAGTCAACCTGTCTCCAATTTGCCAGTGAGCTTTCAGAGAACCACACACCCCTTACCTGTTAAAGAGAACCAGAGCTGGACCATTCAGCACTTGAAAATTTCTATTGAAATTTTGAAACTGAACTTAAATCTTTTTAGTTTGAATTTAGAACTAAAAAACAGCAGTGTAGACTGCTTTATTAGTTTATAGGACTATTTCCCTGTCACCATTGCGTCAGTAATGTAGTATTGCTTTGTATGCTTTATGGTTTTTCTAATATGGGTACTAGAAAATTGTTAATGTGGCTCACATTGCTTTTGTTTTGTTCCTTTGTGGTGCTGGGGATTGAACATTCGTGCCAGGCAAATAGTGTATCACTCAGCTACATCCCTAGCCCTCATATCCTATTTCTGTGAGTGCTAATGTAAGACTTGACTGGAATCTTAA